CCCGGCTAATTTTTTTAAAAATTTATTGTAGAGATGATGTCTCGCCAAGTTGCCCAGGTGGATCTCGAACCCGCGGGCTCAGGCAATCCGCTCACCTCGGCCTCCCAAAGCGCTGGGATTACAGGCTGAGCCACCGAGCCCAGTCAACCCTGGCTCATTTTAATAACTGAAAACCCAGACTCCCCCTGCCCCAACCCTGGAGGACCCAGTGTCACATAAGAGCCCCTCCCCACTCCAGCACAGTTACCTCAGGATAGTAGTAGGGAGGGGGCAAGGCTGGCTGCTCTCAGGGCTGTATAAATCCTTTTTTCTTATCCAAAACGTGTGGTAGAGTGATGTCTTACTCCGAGACCTGTGGTCTCTCTCCTGTGAATCAAATGAAAAACAAAATGGGCAAAGGAATTAGGAGCGAGGGGTGAGTGGGGATGCCACTTCCTGGACAGTTAGCCAGTTCCACCCCTCAGCAGCAAGGAGGAATTTGTCACACACATACCTGCGGTGTCACTCTTTGGACTCCTTGGCAGGGGCAGCAAGGCCTTTGGTGGGTAACCTGCAGCTGGCTCACAGTCTGGTTGCAGAACTCGCTGGAATGGCATGACTTCAGAGCTGGCCGCAGTGATGGAGATACAGCCTTCAGAGTTCTGGTCCTCACTTCCTTTCACAGCCCCCGCCCCCTTCCCCCAAGCGGTGTGACCTGGTATTTAACACTGTTGCCACATGGTGGCGCTGCATTAGCCAAGGACAAAAATATCCAGAAACGTCAGGCTCTCTGCCAGTGTCTGGCAGGGTGTGTTTACATGCATCAGAGTGCCTGCCCTGACTTTTGGTGACTTTTGTATTGCTATTTCTTTCTTCTTCTTTTTTATTTTTTATTTTTTATTTTTTTGAGTTGGAATTCTCACTCTGTCGCCCAGGCTGGAGTGCAGCAGCACGCGCATAGCCACCACAGCCTTGACCTGTTGAGCTCAGGCGATCCTTCTGCCTCAACCTTCCAAGTAGCTGGAACTACAGGCATGTGTCACCATGCCCAGCTAATTTTTTTGATTTATTGTAGAGATGAGGTCTCCTCAAGTTGTCCAGGCTGGTCTCTAGCCCCTGGACTCAGGTAATCCTCTCGCCACCGCCTCCCAAAGTGCTAGGATTATAGGCGTGAGCCACTGCATCCAGCTGTATTGGTATTTCAAACTCACTTCACTATTGTAATAATTTAAAACAATTTAAAAATCCTCCAACATGTCACCCACCCATTCATTAAGAGGAAGCACAGCACCAAGGCTGAAAATGTGCCTCAAAAAGTCTGTTTGTTGTGGACCTTCAGGTGATAGACAAGCCACGTGGCAGCCTGTCAGGCTGAGCTGTCAATTTAGGAGTGACCCCTCTTCAAATTTGAGAGATCGTGAGAAGAAGCAGAAAGCAATAGAAATATCCTGCAGTGACTGTGGATTTTGTGTGAAGGGAGATTCTCCCCCTCCCTGTGTGGAGTGACCCCTCTTCAAATTTGAGAGATCGTGAGAAGCAGCAGAAAGCAATAGTAATATCCTGCAGTGACTGTGGATTTTGTGTGGAGGGAGATTCTCCCCCTCCCTGTGTGGAGTGACCCCTCTTCAAATTTGAGAGATCGTGAGAAGAAGCAGAAAGCAATAGTAATATCCTGCAGTGACTGTGGATTTTGTGTGGAGGGAGATTCTCCCCACCATATATTTATTCTTATAGGGATTATGAGGAATGAGTCTTGCCTGATGGGCAGTTTTGCATTAATGAGGCTCTTTAAGAACCAAGCCAGGCATAGAATGCATCAGCCTGTAGGCTAGGTCTTCACATCTGATTTACAGAATGAGGGCGATTTGTGAATGGACACACAGTAGCATCCCTGGCGAACTTGCTTTTTCCCTCTTCTGACCCCTACTCTGATCCCTTTGTCTCTTTTCTGATATTTGCAGGGAGTCTCTCGCTCACCCCTGTCTCCTTTGCCATTTTTTTCTTTTTCTTTTTTTTTTACTTTAATTTTGGCCCCTAAACATTCCACCTCTATAAGAGTGAAAAGTTTGTCAGGTGTAGTCTACCC